CCGCGCACGTACCCCCGGCAGCGGGGAGGCGGCCGCGGCCTGCGCCATGCCCCCCCCGGCTTGCCCTTCTTGCTGCTCCCTCCTCGCCCTGCCCGCCCTGCACAAGGCCCCGTTGGCAGGCACCCGCCTACAGAGCTGAACGTAGCAGGGTGCCACTGCTGAAGGGTGCGCGCTGGCCTTCCTTACTTGTTTTTTGTTTGTTTCTTGTGGGTGACAGGCTACAGATGCACCATCCCAGGAAGGACGTCTCTCAGACCAAGAACCAGAGTCGGCCAAGGCAGAAAATGATAACGTCTTTCTCATCAGGGCGCAAGGATTTCCCTTCTCATGCACAGAGGAAGACGTCCTTACCTTTTTTGATAGTATGGGAGTTAATTTTTCTGCATAACTGTTCGGTGTGGTGTTATTGAACCCGCTAGTTAACAGTTATTTAACAGGAAGAAAATTTAAAGATCAGTAGCCAGAGAAAGATGAATTTCCAATAGTGCTGCAAAATAATGCGTAATTTACACATGTAAAACAAATAATCAACTTCCAAACTGCTGGGCCATGACCAGAGGCTCATCCTTGTGGCATTTGATACTTAATTAAGCAAGTCTTTCCCTTCTTGGTCCGCATCTCCACAGTAAAGGCAATCCAATTCAAAGTGATTCCTTCAAGACCACTGCGGTTGGCTTTTTCCCCAACTCCCCTCTTTTAAACAAACTGGAGTGGTTTTTACTTACCGGTTTAAATTTCAGTGTTGATTTCCGATCCCTATTAATAGGCTTGTGCATTCCTTAGCGAGGCTGATCCCTCCGTCCCGTAATACTACGATTCATCCTGCCAGAGTAGACTAGATGGTCAGATCCAAGTGTTTAAATGGTTTAATAACCTGCCAAATTATATAAAGTCAACTTGAAGTCCTAGGAGAAAGGAACATAAACTAGGCAGAGTATAGCTGTAGAGACTGAAAGACTACAGCATTTCTTCTGGATTTCGGATGACTCAGAAACAATTAAGTTTACCGATAAAATGGGAACATATATTATCCAGTTACACAGCTGGGGAAGCTAACGGATGTCAAATGAGTTTCTCATCTGTGATAAGCACTGTGTGTTAAAGTAAGGGTTAGAAATAGGAGTTTTATATCCTGTGTTTCAAGACAGTATTTTGCACTGCTGAGGGGGATAGCTCTAAGCAGAATATTCAGTTCTTATCTGCAATCAAAAGACCCCCATGTTCGATGCAGTTGCATATGTTGCTGTATCATGTGTTCCTTGATTTCTAGGCTGTAGAATTCGAAACGGTGAGAACGGCATACACTTCCTCTTAAACAGGGATGGGAGACGCAGGGGGGATGCCTTGATTGAGCTGGAGTCGAAAGCAGATGTCCAGAGAGCCTTGGAAAAGCACCTGAGGTATATGGGCCCACGCTACGTGAAAGGTGGGTTTGAAACGGCAGAAGTTACATTGGAAGAAAACTCAGGATAAAGCCAGTAAGAACCGCTTGAATAATAAAGCGGGCTGGCACGAGGGGGGCAGCGTGGAGAGATGCAGGATGCAGAATAGAGCAGCAAATTAGCCAGCAAGGCACCATTAAGCCAGAACTTCCTAAGCTGGACAGGAGAAGCAAAGTGGCTTGTGCAGTGAAGGGGCACCATCGCCAGACCACAGAGTATGGGTGGGGGAAGAAACATTATCTAGTTTTGTGGGGCAGAAAAAAAGCAGCTTGAGAAGAACGGCTGCAGAGTGCCACCTTCCGAGCACCGCGAGGGAAAACCTGTTTTGTGCCTGTGTTCCTTGCAGTTTTTGAAGTGCACGATAGTGATGTAGAGGGCTTACTACAAAGTCTGCGGGAAGAGTCACAAGCCATAAGTGATGGAGTTGTACTACTCAGAGGCCTTCCGTTCAGCTCCACTGAGGAGGATATTGCAGATTTTTTCTCAGGTAACTCAGCCTCGTCTATGCTCTTGGGTTATGAAGCATTTATGCCTTCAAGTTGATGCTTAGATAGACTGTCGTTCCTCTAAGCGAGAAAAGCAAAAGCACATGCAGCCTTGAACACCTTCAACACCATGAAGAGTTGCTGTCCCCCTGCAACTATAAGTAACCAAATCTTTCTGAGCAAGCTTTTGGCTGCAAGGTTTTCTTGTACCTTGGACTTTCTTCAGGTCTAACCTAGGATCAGTACTTGCAGCACTTTTTTGCGGCCAGGGGAAGGAAATAGAGGAACCCAGATCCTGTTGCCTGCAATTGGATTGCTACCAGTGCATAATTTGGGAAAAGTGAGAGAGACAAAAATGCCTGTATGATAGTTACAGTGCTAGTGAATGCAGCGTGGGTATTCACAGCTGTAAAATCATGACATCAGGTATGCTAATTGAAAGTGTTCACAGCAGTTTATTTTTTTTTTGTTACTGGCTTGTTCGTGGTTCTGTAAGTTGATGGCACCGGTTGTCAGCTGAGCAACTATTGCACAGCGTGTGCACGCATGCTCACATCCCACACTCTGTGCTAGAGCAAGGCAGGTGGTTGTGGCCTGCATTTGTTAGCAATGAAGCCTTTCTAGGTTTTGCAAAATCAATTGACACTTCCTTAGGTAAAGTTTAAATTGTAGATTAAACCAAAAGCAATTCTTCCCCTCACCTTCTTCCACTCCAGGTAGGCACGCGCACAGAGTCCTATATATAGCTGATAATAACCACCGACATGCCAAAAGCTGAGGCCACCGCTGGTAAATTTTTCCATTGATAGCCAGTAGTTCAGTATGCTGGAATGCATCTAGTAGCAGAGTTGGCATAATGAGATGACTAGGGCAGCATCGTGGAGCAAATATTTCCATTTCTTCAGGAGCTTGGGGAGACCCTTTAAGAAAGCAACAAGGCGCAAAGAGGTATGCAGAACTACTCCTGAAAAAGAAAGTGTAGTAGCCCGGTCCATTGTGTACTCTGTATCACATCAGATATAGCCATTTGCTGGATTACAGACTCCCCAAGAAGCCATTATACAGCACAAAAATTGAAGTTCAGTCAATTTGACCTGGGTTTTAAAGAGATGGGAAAAATCACCGTAATAGTAAGAAAAAATTTCAACATTATTTGTCCTCTGGACCTCCTTGTGGTCTAGAACTTGGATTGACTTGTTATTTTCATGGTTACTTGAAGCGTCGCGTTGATTCATTATTGACAATTAAGCCTTCTGCATAACTTAAAGCAAATAAATTGTCATTAAAAACCTAAATTTAAAAAAAAGTACGTAGGCCAGCATGAGCAGTTGTTTCAGAAATATTTAACTACCTGATTAGCTTGTCAAAAACCAGAAGAGTCGGAAAAAAAAAAAGTCTCTCTCAGCTATAGCACAAGTTCCTGACAAAGTAGATGTCTTTTTCTCCCCCCACTTCTATAGGTTTGAAAATAACAGACATAGCTTTCGTTTACCGGGGAGAAAGAAAAACAGGAGAAGCTTTCGTGCAGTTTGCAGCTCCTGAAATGGCAGCTAAGGCCTTGTTACGACACAGGGAATATATGGGAAGTAGGTAAGTACTTCACTGGAGTTCACAATGGTAGAAGAATATAGTACAAAGCATGCTGGGTGTCTTACAGCTTGCTTCTCATCAGGCAAAACAGCTAATCTTCATTTATTCCATACTCACTTCATTGTTCAGGAAGCTTCTGCCTTTATTACCCTTAAACCCTAGAACTCTGACTTCAGATTCAAATATCAGTAGAAATCATATCTAAATCTCTCTCATAATGGTGTCAGGCGGTTACTTTGTGGCTTCCAACATTTCTTTTTTAATAGTACTCTCTGAAATACTCTGTGTAACCTAAGTGTTACCTTCTCTGGTGATGTTTTCTTTAGAACTTTAACAGAACTGGAAAAAAGAAGATGAAGCCTTTGTAGGCTTCTGTGCGCTGCAGAGGCACCTTTGGCACTCACAGCTTGGAGGAATTTGGGGCCTCTCAGAGAAAAGTCTCAGGTCTTTTTGAGTACTCCTGAAGGCAGTGTCATCACAACAAAAATGGGGTAATAGCATTCAGAGCCAGGAACACTAGATAAACACCACCTACCCAGTCCCAAGTGCATGGAGATCCTGGGCCTCCTAAAGACATTTGCCCCTGCCATGTTTCCACCAGGTTCCCTAGTGCTTTTCACAATTTTGGCAACCCTCGTTTGGGTTCAGCCCAGTATCAAGCAGAAGCAGTGTCTCCACTTGCAGAGTCCATATTACAAAACACAGCTTACCAGTCACCTCTGGCTTGAATCCATTCCCAGCGTTGACTGCTGGCCAACAGCATACAGTTGTTGATCTTTCAGTGACCACATCCACCTGGGCTCTACACTTCTTCCTCAGGAACCCACAGTAAACCCTTTTCTTCCAGAGCACTAAGCCCTGCGCCACACACTTCTCTCATGAGAGCCTCTTGTCTCAAAGAGATGTGTATACACCACATTTCCCCCGAACCAGAGAATCGTTTAGATAGGAAGAGACCTTTAAGGTCATGAAGTCCAACCGTTAAGCTAACACTGCCAAGTCCACCACTAAATCACATCTCTAAGCACCCCATCTACACATCTTTAAAAAACCTCCAGAGCAGCACTTGGGAGAAAAATCAAAGAAACTAACAGATAGCTTTCACCCAGCTGAGCTTTCTGATTTTTTTTTTACTAACACACTAAGTTCTCTTTCTAAACACCAGATAACAAATGACCTCTCCAAACCTTACCACTTCTCCTGCACAACACCCACCTACCTTCTATTCTCTCACTTCCTGTTCCCACTCTCCTTTTCCTTTCATTTGTCCCCTGTGTGGCCCATATTAAAAGAAAACAGCTGCTTTGTAGGTGTGCCCAGTAATTGAATTAACTAACACAGTTCCCTACCCTCTGGTAGAGATTAGTTAATTCTCAATCTGCCATTAATTTTTACTTTGTCACGATCGACCAAGACCTGATCTGACTCGCCCACGCGAGCTCATGTGTCTCTCTATCTGTGTGATTAGCTAAGAAACGGAGTGGTTTCCAAAACTGCTTCCGACATGCTCTGGTTCATTCTTCCCCGGGGCTATCAATTTTATCCAGAAATGGCCTTCAGCTGTGCACAGTATTGAGCGTGGGTTCATGGGGGCTGAGCTGTAAGCTCTGTCAGCCTTTGTGGGGGGTTACTTCCCTTACTCTGCTGCTCTCTTCAGGAAGGGAAGCACGCCTCCTCACTTGGACATCCCTGTCGTCTTCTTCATAATGTTATTCCTTCACTGCTGTGCACATCGCCTAATTTAACACTGCTGGTCAAATTTCTGTGAGGGCCACTGGGTACTGTTGCCAGCTCTCTGAAAGATGAGCACAGGCAGCTCTGAGCTAAGAGGTTCTGGGATGGGTAGCTAGAAACATAAGGTATTATAATTTTATACTTTTACTAAACCTGTGAAGAAGGGCTTGGGGTTTTTTTTGTTCCTGTGGTGTAAGTGGGATCTTGCTAAAGTCCCCTAATATTCCGTTACATATTGTTGTATTCTACCCACTACTGTCACACACCCCCCGTTACGTTTTATCCCATTAATTTTTGTAGCTGTATGTAAAATCTTAACAGATCCACTGAAGTATTTAATACGACCCTGTGCGTCTTCTGTGTCTGCCTGTTTCAGTAATCTGGTTTGGGGTTGGCTGGGGTTTTTTTTCAATTTGGGGTTTGTAGAAATTGGAAAGGACAATGTGCAGACATGCAGCGAGGGGAGAACAGCCTCACATACAGGGCTGCCTAGAAGGATGCATACTACTGAAATAAATAGGAAACATTTTTCACAGGAAGTAAACCTGTATTTCTGCGACAAAACAGAATTTAGGCTTGGAAGCGATTGGTATTACTTTGTATAAGGCTGTAAACTAAAGACGTTGTCCAGACCAGACCGGTAATCTGTCTCGCTATATATGGGTTCATCCAGGAGAGTGGCTGTCACCACAAGTTGAGAAGGGCTTTCATAAACGTAACTGTGCAATTGAAATGAATTAATTCTTTAAAACCGTTGCTTGCCCTTCTGTGGCTCTCGCACCCAGCAGAGCTGAGCTAGAACGTCCTGAAGGTGCTTTCTCAAAACCTCGGGTTCTTTGTGGAGGTGCAAGATGTGCCCTGTGATCTTTTCCTTTGAATTCTAGATACATAGAAGTGTACGTAGGTAGAAAGCATCAAATGCAAAGGCACATGCCTTATGACAAGCAGATGATATCCTACCCCAAAGTGAGAGAAGAACACGAATCTGTTTCTGAAGAAAGGGGATTGAGTGACGCGGGAGGCTCCGACGCTGAAAGAGAAAATAGTGAGTCCCTCCCTGCTGTGCTTATTCTTTGAAGCCCCTCCATTTTACCCTGCTCGTCTGCTGTGAGCACGGTCCTTGCGTGTCTATAGTTTTCACGCGAGGGAGGTGATCATTGCAAGTATTCATGATGTTTTTTCCCTCCATTCCACAGAATTGTGCAGGGAAGGAAAGGAAAGCTCCGGGCACGTTTTGGAATCTGGGGGCGTCTCATCACCACTGCACTTTGTCCACGTGAGAGGTTTTCCTACCCAAGCTAGTGCCCAAGACATAATAAATGTGAGTAGTGGTAAAACTATGAATTAAATTCGGTTCTCATTACCAATGCAAACTCTTGCTTAAGTGCTACAGATGAAGTGGCTTCACATTTTTAATTTATTTGTGTTAGTCTTCACTGCTGCGTGGCTTCAAGCGGAATGTGTTTGGAAACTTGAGGCTGCTGAGGGTGACAGGCTCCCCACGGTAGCTGTGGCCTCGTGGGCACAACAGCGCTGTGCTCGCCTCCATTAATAGGAATGGATTAAAGCTTGCTGAGCTGTTTCAGTATCCGTCACTTGGACTGGAGTAGCCATTGCCAATCTTTGCTAGATTTCCCAGTAGGCGATTGTGTTGTCCCACAAGTGGGATCATATACCCGGTGTGTAACACTCCAAGATGCGCACAGAATGGAGGTATTTTATTTATCGCGTATTTGCGCAGGTGTGGGTGCTAGGTGGCACTCCACAAAGCTAGCACACCACACAAAGGAATTGCCACGTATTTATCCTGTTACACAATTAGCGAAAACAATAGAGAGCCTCCCAAATTTACATTCATTGTCTAGCAGTTACTGCATTGATTATTACTGGGTCCACATTTAAATTACTGCACACGCTCCTAGAAAGGAAACATAGTCCGTCAGTTGAGTCAGTGGTCGTAATCTCCCCCTGCCACCTTGACCTTTGCCCCAGTTACTGTGAACTCTGCTGATCTCATGACAGGTACATTGCTGAAGAGTAAAACAACAACTCAGTCTTCATGGTTTACTGCTTAAGTACAACTACTTCTTCATCTCCTTGACCACTAAATCCAGGTTCATTAATCTTTTTTAATTGACTTCTCTCCTACTAACCTGCCCCCCCAGAATCCTTCATTTGTGTCTGACGTCAACTATACAAAAAATTAATTTCAGAATCTTTTTAGTATCACTTTTACTTCATTGTAATAGCATAGAGCGTGACAGTGCAGGTACCTTAGTGACTTAGATGCGTACAGAACACATGTGCTGCCTGAAGATTTCGGTTCCTGTCGGGAATTACTCTGCCAGGAGCTTACAGAGGGTGGGAGGCTGCGCGCTGGGGGACAGGGGACTTGGGTGTCAGCTTCACCCCGACCGAGAAGGGGGGCCTTTTGCTGCTGAAGAGCTCAGACTCCTCTGTAGGTGGACACGCTTTGTGCATAGAAAGATCAAGTTTCTTGGTAATAGGGTGCTTTACTGTTCTGTTTCTTTCTCACCGAACTCTCTTTTGTTTTTCTCCTTTTCAGTTTTTTGCTCCGCTGAAGCCGACACGGATCATGGTAGAATACAACTCCCATGGAGATGCCACAGGAGAAGCAGACGTGCATTTCGGGAGCCATGAGGATGCAGTCGCTGCAATGGCTAAGGAGGGCTCACAGCTGCGTAAGTAAGGAGGAAGCGGTCCCTGAGACTCAGCTCCTCAGGTAGTTTGGCACGGCTTGTCAAGCTACTGTTAACACCCTATGCAAAAGGATCATCTTTAATGTAGATCTCCAAATTGCCCTATAATGTGACACTGGCTTTGGGGGGAAAAAAAAAGGAAACAGGTACAAGTCACTGAACACAAACTGGCTCTCTCAAATTGTTCCCAGAGTGCAGTGCCATTGAATTATTCCTGAATGAACACCCAAAGGCAAAAGAGAACTGCCAGTGACAGTGGCACGGCCACAGATTTGGTAAGTGCATCCTTCTTCTCTGTTGTTCGTGTTCCATTTTTAGCACTGTGTGCCTCAAGCTTAGTCCTCCTCATACTTCGGATTTCAAATAGCTTAAAGACTAAAATTTGGAGTGGCTAAAGGGGATCTCACAGCTAATCTGTCAGGCATCACGCCCTGGACCCTCTGGCCTGCAAATCCAGATTGCACGGGATAAAAATCCTGTGCCGAAGGGGCAACAGCTCCTTTCTGGGGCTGCAGCGGCAGAGGTTGGTGTGCTGCCCCGCCACTGCACAGCAACGCAGCAGCTTGCCCTTCCACAGCCGAGTGTGCCACAGAGCTTTTTTTGTTTCCCTCCTCCTTTGAACACTCTGTTGGTGTGATTGATTACAGGTTCCGACAGGGTGGTATTCCCTGGCATGGCAGAGGAAGCGTGGCTAAATATTTACCACAGATATAGGTTAATTGGGGGCAGGGAAACGTCGCTTACAAGTACAGGCAGCAGAGTTTGACACAGCAGCATTCTTCAGGTTCTTTTAATCCCTCCACTCTCTCGCAAGCAGGCCACTAGCCTAGCTATGTGTGGTAGGCAGCCTCTTTTCCGTGCAAACAGGTTCTTGCTGCTAAAACCTTGTCAGGTCACACTACTTACTGAAAACACAGGACAGCCCTGCCTGCTGCAGAAGGGTTTCCTAGGTCTACAACCGTGCAGCTGAATGTTTGCACCAGGAAAAAAGTTTCCTGTGACCTTTATGGAAGGCCCTGGGCAACTTGTGACGCTTCCATCGACTCCCTTCTGAAAGCAGGGGGTCATGGCCGCCGCTCCCCAACGTCCTGGCCCCACAGCTGCAGCAGGGAGGGCAGCCAGCTCCTACCCAGTTCCCCTCGGCCCTGTAGGTCTGTATTTCTTACCTACGCCAGGGATAAGCTCTTGGGGCAGATTCAAGACGTTCATCTAAGCTGCGACCTACATCCCACGCAGCCTCCCTGAGCCGTGGCACAGGAACACCCGGCACAGTTTCTGGCCCCGCAGAATGAAACGCCCCCCACCCTGTGTGTGCGTGTACTGCAGCCCCACGCACACATCTCACCTGTTGTAGCGGTTTGTGTCACCTTACCTTTTTGGGTGAGATCTTTTAGTATTGCCAAATTCTACTATTCTGTTATTGGAGACAATAATTCACAATGAAATGCAGCAGTGCATTTGAAAAAATCAAAGCAACAAGCTGCAGGTGGTGATTTTTCTTTTCCCTCTTCCTTTCTTTTCAGGCCAAAGCAAACACATTCCCCGAGTATAAGCGTAAAGATTGAGTATGAGTGTCACCGCTCAGTAAGAAGGATAAACTGTATAAAATTGAGTTTAGTGTTGTGTAATAGCATGTAATAAACGGTGTTGACATACTCTGGAAAAATTGTCTGTGCAAAACCAGAAGCAGCTGTACTGCAGGAATGGCAAATGCTGCAGGATGGAGCAATTCTAGTTTCCAACCGCGTAATGGTGTACAAAGCATGAATAAAACACTGGTATTTGCAGTTCACAAAACCTGAGCCATTTAAGATCCTCGTACGCGAGCCAGCAGGCGCACCATGCAGTATTATAGCCAACAGCTCATCCCTCCTATCATGCCTCCCTCAATCTGCGTAAGCATCCGTCACCTGTTCTGAAATGCTTTCATACGCGTAGCCAAAGCAGAGTGGAACGGAAAGACCATTCGGGACGTGGAATACAGGCGATCAAGTTTTTATTACTGTGTGGAACAAAACATCAGAAAAAGCGCCTTCCGCTCCCCCCAAACCAAATGTCCAGGTGTCAACCCACACTAGCATTACAAGCAGTACCTGAGCAAATGCGCCTTGAACGTCACAGAGTCTGACATCCAGTTCTGCAGGCAGAGACGTTGACAGGAGCCTGAGACACCAGGAAAGAGGCAAGAGCGGACACAGGCAGCTGTCACTAGCTCCCTCTGACCTTTCTAAAAGCCAGTTTCCATTACAGCTCCCCGAGCTGTATTCTGAAGGCTTGGTAGCTGGCTCCCTGCTCCTTCACAACGATCTCTGTCACCTCAGAGGACCTGCTCAGGAGCTGTCCTGCTTTCCATGTGAACAACAGTCACAGCCTTCGCTTCCAACGAGCAGCCGCTCCTGCCGAGACAGTCGAAAGCTGGGCACAGGTCACAAATCGTCTGTCACTTCGGAGCTCCAAAAGCTGGACATACCAGCACAAGCGTAATTTACAGTAAGGGCGCAGTTTCCAGTTTAATCCTCTACCACGGAAATCCCCCGTGGGAACCCCACTCTAGGTTTGTATGCAGAAATTTGAAATCTTGTAGATGTGTACAGGATGTGCACAAAACTATTAACACTGAAGTCGGGGTTTTCTCCATTCATGTCTGGTGTTTCACCCCTGCCAGGCGCTGTGCCCACACTTGGAGTTCTAGGCTTTTTGTATTTCAACACTGTCTACAACTACTAATCTACTTTAAGGGACAGGAGCAAGGAAACGTGCCTGGTAACTACCATGAGGGGAAAAAGCGCAGAATAAGAAAAACTATTTAAAGTTGCCCCCCCTGTGAAGTGCTCTGGCTCTGAAGGGCCTTGAGAGGAGCTAGAGAACTTGGGTGGCTGAACACACTGAGAGAACTAGAAAAGAGTAATTCCTGGTACAAACTAGCACCAACCACATACATAACCTCATCTCTGACACCCTTTTTAATGTGGTTCCAGCCAGTCTAATCAAACAGATAAATTCCGTCTGAGAAATTAAACCACTAAGCCCTAAGAAAATTTGTACAAATCAAAAAACATTTGTCACATATAAATACACCAGTTTTCTATGGACTACAAAACATTCTGTGGTCTTAAAGACTGCAGTAGGCTTCCGGTATAAAACACACCAAACGTGACTACAACAGGCTACGTGCTTCATGAGGAAGCCACCACCGCTTTTTGGAGTACTGTAGAATTCCTTGAGGTAAGAGCAACAAAGAATGACGTAGCATGCCCTGTGAAACTTTCTTAAACCGTGTGTTGTTAGAATTTATAGTAGATGAAAAGCATTCCGATTTCTTCTCGCTTTCATTTTCATCTAACCAACGAAAAGACAAAATGCCAGGTTTATTGCGACAACTTTTTCATGTGCACAAGGGGGAGAGGTGGAGCCACGTGGCCCTAAACCTTCTTTGTCCTGATGAGGATTTGGGATCTAAATACTTGGGAATCCAGTTCCTCCAGTTACCACACCAAGACAAGAAGTACAGTCACACCCATGGCTTTGGCCACCATTGTGTAGTCGCCAAGTCATGGTGAGGGTCTGCGAGAGGAAGGTCAGCGATGCCTTAAGGCATTGCCCTGCCAGGTCAGTGCAGGTCGTCAGTTCTTGTATCGTGCACACCTCAAAACCACCTACGTCCCCCAGCCCCTAGAACACAGGGCAAGACCTTTCACAGCTTTGTTTGATTTTTCGATACCGCTTTGCATAGCAAGCCCATGGCTGAAGGGCTGAGTCAAAGAAATGAAACTAGAAAGTCTTTATTGGGGTCTCACCTGGCCTCCGTACACCCGGCACTGATAGAGCATGGTCGAGCCAGAGTGTCGGAGGCTATCAGGAAAGGGGAAATGGTATTTCAAGTGCAGCCAGACATGAGGATTAAAAAATGAGTGAGCCTTTGCCGAACAGCAGCATGCTCTCACGCCACACGCTTAAGGACAAGACCCTTCCCAGCTTGCACACCCAGACGTGCGCGCACACACACACAGAGGTCTTGTTTTGGGTGGGGACTCTGTTGTCACTGCATCGAAGGCTGCCCGGGCACACCTTGGGACTAATTCACATGACAAGCTCAGGTCTGAGAGCAGGCAGATGTTTGCACAGGAGAAGGCTCAGACTGTCATTTTAGTCACAAAGAGACCATACACACCACGAAGCTGCGTCCCCTCGGAGCTCCAAAGAACACAGGTGAGTGTCTTCTCTTCACGCTCCCCCCCGAACAACTCCAGAAAACATCATCGGCCACAACCATTTTTTGGCCGGCTCTCTCCGCAGCCCGTGCCCTACAAGGGACTGGTTGAATACTGCTGGATGAGCTGCTTGTGACAGGGATTGCAGACACGCTCGGGGTTAATACTAGATGGGAGGGGCAGCTCGTTTGCTGAACAGGCTTCACAGAAGATGCCACCGCAGTTCTTGCAGATGTTCTAGAACGCAGGAAAAGGACAGAGAAATTAAGGAGATGCTGAAGACACAAGCAACACAAAGCACCATTTCCTCTCATTAAGACTCGGTCACAACCCAAATCCTGCTGGGCAAGAAAAAGCTGCTCCAAAAGTCCACTCCTGTCCCCCCCTGAAGCCCCAAGGTTTGCTCCCATGCTCAGGACCAGTTTATAGCAAAGCTCCTTGGGTCAAATGAGAGTAGGTGAAGGCTTGTAGTAAAGCAGGTAGGAGTTGCCAATAATGAACCACAAGTTTTAATTGACTCAGTCTAGCAGAGCCTTTTGCCACTTAAGGTGCACGTGTATTCTGTAGCCACAGATAGCCTTGCCCAAGATGAGGATTTAAATGTGCACATGCATTTGGAAATATATCAGTCGGATATAAAGCTGTGGCATTTGCTCTGGACTTGCACACCTTCTCAAGATAAACGTAGGGGAACGGGCAAGACTGGAAATGCTGCAGAGTGTTCCCACATGCGCAACAGGAGACTTCGTGGGGTGACGGAGGGGGCAGTCA